CACGATCCTTCCGACCAAACGAACATGTCAATAATGACTCTTTGTATTAACATCATGTAATGTACTCCATAAGATGTACATCAAGCTAAGACCTTCCACCAAGGAAGGGCCTCATTTGTAATCAACTGCAATACTAGTGGATTCATTCAAACTGGGCTAAGCCCCGTGGTTTTTCCTCCTTTTCAGAGGTTTTCCACGTAAAAATCTTTGTCTCATAAATGCTAGACCCTTTCTCTTATCTGATTGCGTGCCGGATTTTAGTACAATGCTAAGACGATAAACTTTATATTTCTCTACCGCCGTGAATACTCCTGGACGCAACAATCCTAACAATAATCATTTACATAATGCAAGTTCATGAACACTATGCAATTAGTTGAAAGCCTATTAAAAAAAATATATTGTTTCATTGTGCATCTAAATATTTCTATGATTTTTTTATTTTTTATTTTTTACTTTTCTAATGGCTTGAGGATGCAATCGCTCGACCTAATACGGGACCCAGCTATCAAGTTTCTGGTGGGGTAAGATTTGATCGGGTTTACTTTGGTTTGGTGTGGGTTGGAAAGTTTTTTTTTTTAGTAGGAAGAGTTCTCGGACTTGGCCAGCAAATAATTTTAAATTTGGGTCCACTTGGAAAGCATAGAAGAATTATTATTATTATTTTTTTTTTAAGTTGAGTGCTCACAATCAAGTCAAAAGCTAAAAAAAATGAAAATAATTAATTTAATATTTTTATCTATCATCATATATGATTGTCATCTTTGACATTCATTACCTATGAGGAAAGGCACATTTTTTTTGTAATAATATATTTATTCATTTAAAGATAACAAATAATAAATGGATGTTATACAAAGCCATACGTATGCTCCATTTGAAAATTTTATTTTGGTTTCATTTGAGAAATATTTCTTACTATTTTCTAAATTTTTTTTTTTTTTACAAAATCTTTTTGAGCTCGAAATTTTTGCATTAAAAAACTGTTTTAAAAAGCAATAAGAAAGTTGTCATGAGGAAAACTTTAGTGGTGTGAAGTGTAGCTTTTTAATATATTATGTTATGTTGCAAGTGGGCAATTTTTTTTACAAAATTATTTGGAGAAAATATCTATGATGTGATGTGAATATTGATTAAATAATAAAAATAAACATGATTGATACGTCACCAAAAATCACTTTGATCAAACACTAATCTCAATAATAATTTGGGGACAACGCCAATCAAGGAGCACCTCCTTCCCCACAAGCTCATCAAGTTCTCTCCAACATAACTAGTTCAACACACTTCCTACATTACTTGGCCAACCCATAATCTTCCACTTGTTGTGGAGGACTTAGATCAACATCAATTTATTGATGTCCCTTAGGACAGTATAATAGATATACTATGAAGTCTAATTCAAGAGAAATTTCTTTTGTGGGAATATAATTAATTCACTCATTCATGTGCCTTCCAAGAGTCATCATATTTAACAAATAAAATTTTCCAGCATCCTATTCCAGTGGGATTCAAACTACCCACTATCAATATATATGATGGATCCTCTGATTCTTATAAATATATTGATCATTATAGAACCATCATGTATATCCAATAAGCTTTATTTGATGCACTTCTTTACCATACTTTTCTTACTACTCTTAAGAGTCAAGCTCGCACTTGGTTCTACTTACTCTCTATAAATAATATTGATAAGTTCACCCATCTTACTGGATTTTTTGTTGAACAATTTATTCTCAATCGAAGAATTATCAAAAGACTTCTCCCATCTTTTTAGAATTCATCAAAATGAGGGAGAAGCACTAAAAAAACACTTTAAGTGATTTTCTTCAAAAGCACGTCAAATTCTAGGAAAAGATCCATAATTATTAAAAGGTATTTATTGGGAGGTCTTTGACCAGGATCGTTCTACTCCTCATTGATGCAAGAAACTGTTCGCTCAGACGCTAATCTGATTCATAGAGTGAAAGCTCAAATAACTGTAGATAAATCCATCAATGCTCATCGAAAGCAGTTTAAGCAATCCTCCAAATAAAAAAAAAAATCATAAGAATTTATCAAGCTACACAACAATTAAGATATAAGAAGTCAAAAAATGATTATTACTCAATTCACCTAAGGTCACCTAACTACCCTCCTTTAAATATATCAAGAGCTAATGAATGATATTCAAATTTCTTAACATCTTAAGTGGTCCAAGCCCCTAAAAACTTAAATCGGTAGAGATCAGTCTCAATATTATAACTTTTATCATTTAAAAGGACACTCAACTAAAAACAATTATTTCAATTGAAGGGTTAGATTGAACGCCTCATTTTTCAAGGACATTTAGGTCATTATTTATAAGAGTAAAGTGCATATCATCAACCTCAAAATAAGGGAGATCTAAAGAGCCGTGACAAAAAAAATTATTGGCATTATTTACTAGGAGTACCTTCATATTTAAAATTACTCAAAGGATCCCAACTCTTCAAAATTTTCAACTTATGTAAGTTTTATTTAAATTATTAATAAAATTTTATATACATAATTTTACATATAATAACAATCCTAGGAAGGCAAGCCAATAAGGTATCCTCGAAGAAAAGCTAGTAGTACATAAGGTCCTCTCTAAAAAGATCTCATGAGAGGAAGTGGCAGATAAGGACTCCACCCATAGCCCCAAGAAGGCATGCCCATGCATGAGGTAGCCTTGAAGGGTAGCTAGTAGTGAACAAGATACTCACTAGGTACTCTTTCAAAAGTATCATAATGTAAAAGCTTCATAAGATTTGGGATTATTCAAAAATGTTTATATGTAAAGGCCTCATAAAGAACATGTGAACATAAAATCACAGAAGACAAAAGCTCAGAAGGTAGATGTACACCTAAAATCTTAGAATGCATAACCCTCATAAGGTATATGATTATCTAAAAATCTCAAAAGATATACAACTCAGAAGGTACAGGTACACCAAAAACTTTTGAATGTTAAAAGACTCAAAAGGTATAGGTATAAAAGAATTT